GAATATGAGTACTCTTCTCTTACCATTGTTCATGATGCTTTTGTTGGTATTCATGTTGTACATATCCGCTGGCGTTCTAACTTGTGTATTCTCGACAATACAATTCAATTCCATCTGATCTGTCGTCGTAAAGTGTATGTTGCTAGATTTCTCCTTGCTAGAGTTTGATGAAATAATCCCTTTAAAATATACTGTTTGAAGATGTTGTCACGTAGCCCAGTGTAACAATAAATTCATTCAATTTCTGAATTCTCCTTTAAATTTGTTTTCAAAATGAAACTATAATATCAAGAATCTATTGGTATCTCCATAATATCTGAAGATGTAGAATACGTGATATATTCTACTCGCGAAACATCGATTCTCGTTCTGATTGTCACCCTTTTTCTGTTCTCAGTCACGTTTGGAAAATAATAGTTCCAGCTAAGAGGTTTTTCCATGTTACAGATGTTGAATATATAAATTTCTTCAGATGTATTTACAATAATTTATTTTTAGATTTATGAAACATTCTACCATCAAGTCTATCTTCCTTTAAGAGTTCTCACCATTTCTTTAAAAATAACTCCATTGATTTTCCAGTTCTGCTGCTAGGTCAACATCATTTGTGCCATTTCACAGAACTGGTCATAGTTACATTCTGACATGTATTCAATCTATTTAATTAATTTCTGTGTTGGGTTATGGGGTACTGAATTACCATGGTACCTTTGCTATTTGGTGACGGTTATTTATTAAAATAGCGAAATTAAATTACTCAATGTTTGATGGAGAAGATTAATGATCTCTGCATGCCTTTGGAGATCATTAATTTCTACCACAAGAAAATGCCCGAAATTTTGTTAATTTTTATTCTATTAAAAACTTGTTTATTAACGAATTCATTATGATTTATGGTTTTAATTGAACCTTTGAGATAATTAATTTAATTATATATAAATGAGAGGTTTAGAAAAAATGAACCTACATTTTAAGCAAATTCTCTTCTACTGAGCTCGTAGCTCATATCAAGCGTGTCCAGTAATCACGATAACACTTAATTGGTAATTATAAAGGAATTAAATTTTCAAATGAATGTAATGCAGTGTCGAAAACAGATATTTATAATTAATAAGTTATCATAATGACACTGATTTTTAATTTGTTTGATGCTCCAATAAATTCATTTATAAAACTCAATTATGATATTGCTGAAAATAATTGTATTTTGAGTAAATTGAAAAACTCATTTATGAACATATATAAAATAAATTAATTAATGTGTATTTTATGTTAAATTAATATTATTTATGATCAATTATTTTTGGAAAATTACTTCATTAAATTTTAATTAGTTGAACGATAAAAGAAACTCATTTTTAGTATTTATTAGTATTTCCATTACTGAAAATGCAATTTTATATAAAAACTTCGATAATTAATTGGAAAATTATGAGGAAAACGCTAGATTGAAAAGCAGTATCTATCAAAATAAAAATATTTGTGCTAATTACAAAAATCATTTCTTTAATAAAGAAAAAATATGATTGATGAATAATTCAGAAGATATTAAAAAAAAAAATTTATCCATTTTTAAACTAATTTCTTCTTGATCAGTAATTTGTTAGAATTTTCCCTAAAAGTTACTACCAACAGTCTACTAAAAAAAAAAAAAAATCACGCTCTAAAGAATAAGATAAAAATACAATATATTTTTTTACATAAATTAATTAATGCAGCTAGTAGAGTGTAGAAACTGTTGGGGTTCTCAAGTAATATTCATAGTCGATGTTCGATTAATGCTACGATTTTATCGAACACGTGTATAGAACAGCCACCGTATGCAAGCTAGAGTCAAGCACCTGGGCTGACTCTAGAACGAGATATTCTACTATTTTCCTCATCACTATTCGAATCCTGCGCAAAGGAAGTTATGCCGACGCCCTCACGGATATTTGACTTCCAACCTTAGTATTGCTGAAGGCTCGATAGTTTGTTATCAGATATTCAATACCATCTTTTTTTATTAATGATGCCATCGAAGGTTGTCTTTGTTCTATTGAGAAATATCAGTTTCAATGCTTCCCCTATTTTTATGCGCATAGACAACATAGATTGCTTTGTTTGCAGGTCGTAAAGGTGAACATAAAATTGGTTTAACAAAAGTATCAATCAAGGTAGTGATAAATTGAACAACCTGAACTATACTTTTTATTTTTCATATGTAGGTAAATAGTTTGATGCATTTTTTATTATTTTAATAACGCAATATATCACGACTGTTGTAGCACGAATCTGTCAAAAAATATTTTCAGCTTTGTCATTTTTTGTTTACCTCTGTGAGAGCTGATTTATTTTGATTCCATGAATTTTTGTTTTGATAAATAATGGATTGAAATGGGTCGAATACATTGGTTTTGTTTGACAAGAGGCTTATTTACTTAGTAAATTTAATATGTAATTGAAAATAGATGTAATGATTACGGATATTCATGAGACTTGGAAAAGATAAATAAGCAATGTTGCCTGTGGCAAGTAAAAGGCTGATGGAATATTAATATCAACTAATTAATACTCCAAAATTAAGCTGGATTAAAAAGAAAAATTACTGTTTGATAATAATATTTTCTTTTTGAAATGACATTTAATTTTCATATTATTAAATAAGTTTAAATCATACTCAAAAAATTACAGCTTCATACATGTACAAATAATATACTTATTATAATTTTATAACTAATTTTGTTGAGAATAGGTAATTCAAATTCACAAAATCCTTTATCTTGTTATTTAAATTCAGAATGAACATGAAGATAAAAAAATTACTTTTACTAAAATAATGAAATCAAAACTGATGTTGTTAACCATCATGATGAAGCTTATCAAAGTGGGCTTCTTTTTTTAATGTAATTTACAGTATATTAAATTTTAGCATCACTTGGAGAACTATTCACCATTCTATTATACATCTAATTAGCAGAATCCATCTTCAAAATTTACGCCATTAGTTTTTTTCCACAAATTCATTCAGTCCAGACTAGCATCATAAAGTCTAATTATGTAGGATATTTTATATTAACAAAAGAAGTTTATAATAAATACAATAGTTTTACTCATATTCATTAAATAGACCATTTAACCATGAATGATCATGTTAGCCAACATTCGTATAATAATTATTGGCGCAAATAAACCAACTATCTTTTAAGCATCTATTTTAGTTCTGACCAATGTTCAGTGTTCGATTCCATGTGCTTGTTAGATCATAAAACATGAATTCAAACAATCGTATGGTAAACAATATTTCTTGTTTGATGTAAATTTTGCCAGACTGCATCAAACAAAGGAGAGTAATGTGTCCATCGATTTATGCATACATGCATGTGTGTTTGTTCTTTCGTTACCTTCTAGGAATTCAACAGATTGACGAGCTTTGTTGATTCTGCTAGTATCTATCGATCTATCTGAACTCACTGATACACTAGACCAAGTCATTTTTCAGAAGTAAAATTATACGTTCCAAATGATGTTTAATTATATCCAATGTTTTGTCATGCAATTCACGAGTTTAATAATATGTCTGTTGATAATCAATTTCCAGCTATTTTGTCAACTTCTATATTCATTATCTTTGTGTATTATTATTAAAGCTACCTTATTATATTAATTTATTAATCAAATAACAACTATGCTATGCAGCAACTACCTTTTATTCTCTTTAAAGAAAATTATTGATTGAAAAATTTTCGTTGAAAAAGTTTTAATATTTTATAATAATTTGAGATGTGATATTTCATTAAAAATCCTTATTAAGCTCTCAATAATTTATGGATATAGTATCCTGATGAAAGAGAATATTAGCTATCTCAATAACTCGGAGGCAAGCCCAATCTCGACTTTTCTACTTTATATTTTTATTTAAAATTTTTTGCAAATAACTTGAGAACAATTCAAACGATTCTATTCAATGGACGGTTAGTCGATAGGTCTTGGAGGAACTCAGAACTGATTAAATTTTAAACGAAACTCATTGGACCAATATTAAGTTATTAAAGAAAAATTTAATTATTTTCTATTTAATATCACCTTTTCTTTTACAATAGTTTTACAGTAATTATCCGATATTAAAATAAAAAATTCATTTAGAAAACTGATACAAAAGTTCTTTGAATACATAAAGTTATTTTTTTTTCTTTAATTAAGTTATGAAAAATTGTTGTTTTTTTTAATGACTAACATGGTAATGATGGTGATTGTTGGAGTATAGAAAAGATAATAAAATCTCTTCATTATGTCCATGAGACCGTTTTAATAATGGACAAAATGAATAAGACCAGGCTTAAGCTAGTATTGTACTCAAGCTTCCAGCATGTGATCTAATGTCAACGCGCAATCAGCAAAGCGTTACGCCAATGCAATCACGCTCCATTGTGCTCTACGTAAACCTCACCAGCCTAAATCGAGGCATCTCATTCGCATGCAAATGTTCTTGGTTAACGGGTACATCTCCGTTGTACATTCAGATATAGAGTTCACATTCATCCCTCTACAAAGCTCGTCATTTTGCGCCATATTTTTCAAGTAATTACAGGATCAAGAGAAATAGATGACCATATGGAAGCAGTGGTCAACTCATTTTCATAGGAAATACTCTAGAAATAGCTCTGCTGACTCATTAATTCTCTTTTAATACTCTCACTAAATTTATTACTATTTTACGAACTGAAGATAATGATAAAAAATTATGTGTTTATTTTTATTTCAGTGGCTTTGAAAAATACCTCGAGCTAAAATATTGGATATTCTCTTCCTTGAAATAATAGAGATTGGATGACATATTCCCATTTTTTTTTAATAAAAAAAAAAAATTAACAGGCAATTTATTTTTGAGTCATTGCTTTGCTATCGTAGGCTTTTAGATAAAAATATAGGAGAAAAAAAGATGATGGTTATCGATTCTAGAATTAATTTAATAATCAATATTATCAGCCAAGAGTATAATTTATCGAGGTATAACTTACCTTCTGATGATTTGATGCTACCAATAGATACTTCCTGTTCGGAGATAGTTCAAAGTTGAACGTCAATGGTGAGCCAAGAACCTGCAAAGGATTGAGGAAAAACTATTTCAGATAATTGAATTTAGAGGTAAAATTAATTATAGATTGGCCGAGCTTTAGCAATTAAGCATAAAAGTATCGATTGGTTTCTTTTCAATTATTGGAAATATAATAAAAACATTACGAAAAACCAACTGCTTTTTTTTTGCTTTATTACTAAAGTAATTACATGTAAGTATTTTTCTATTATTATTATAAATTGAAAAAAAAAAATTGTTCAGCTTTAAATATAAGTTTGAAGCATAATGAAATTCATCATACTGCAAATCGAATGTTTTCAAAGTGTATTGAAACAGCTCATATGAAGTGTGTTTAATATTTAATTTCGAGGAATGACTTTGTAGAATTAAAAACACTCTGAAATGAGTAAAAAGAGACTACAGAAAGCAATAATTTGTTTATAGAGTTTTAACATTAAATAGACTGAATGTGCATTATTTTCATTCACTGGAATTTGCAGTGAATATTTTTGTAGGATGATTGACATATCAAATCTTGTAGATTTTCTGATTGCTTAATGAAACAATTGTTTCAAACTTGAAAAAAATTTTTTTTAGCAAGTTCCCGTTTTACCCCATTTTAGGGGTGAAATAATTGATTTTTTATATGTTTGACCTGATTCCGCATATCTAGGCATCAAGACGAAGAGAATGAGTGGTCAAACTTGAAAATCGGACGACTTTGATTTTTCGACCCCAAAAAATGGCAAGTGGTACCTCTTTCCATTTTTTTTGGCCAAAAAATAAAGGTACTCCGATTTTCAAGTTTGACCACTCATTCTCTTTGTCTTGATGCGTAGAAATGCGGAATCGGGACACCGGTCAAGAAAATTTACTTTAACACCCTTAAAAAGGGGTAAAACTGGATACAAATTAGGAATAATCATCCCCTTGACTTTAAACCCCTATAACTCATGAACCGACGGTCCAATGACTGTTTTGAGGGACGTTTTAGAAACTTTAGAATCTGAGCTGTCTCACAATATCCCTAGATTTATTAGAAAAAATTTTATTCACCCTAAAAATCGCTAAAATATAAGAAAAAGTCACATTTTTTTGGGAGTTTGCCAAGTATTTCAGCAATTTTAAGGGTGAAATAAATTTTTTAAACGTTTTTCATGGATATGTATCTTTAGCTGAGATTTTGAAATTTCTAAAACATCTCTAAAAACGATTATTAGACCGTCCGTTCATAAGTTATAGAGATCCAAAGTCAAAGTAAGGGTCGAAAATCATCTATTCTTTGACTTTAGATCTTCATAACTCGTGAAGAAATTATCAGATGATAATTTTTGAGAGGTATTTGGAAACTTCAAATTCTAAAGTTTCTAAAACGTCCCTAAAAACAGTCATTGGACCGTCGGTTCATGAGTTATAGGGGTTTAAAGTCAAGGGGATGATTATTCCTAATTTGTATCCAGTTTTACCCCTTTTTAAGGGTGTTAAAGTAAATTTTCTTCACCGGTGTCCCGATTCCGCATTTCTACGCATCAAGACGAAGAGAATGAGTGGTCAAACTTGAAAATCGGAGTACCTTTATTTTTTGGCTGAAAAAAATGGAAAGGGGTACCACTTGCCATTTTTTGGGGTCGAAAAATCAAAGTCGTCCGATTTTCAAGTTTGACCACTCATTCTCTTCGTCTTGATGCCTAGATATGCGGAATCAGGTCAAACATATAAAAAATCAATTATTTCACCCCTAAAATGGGGTAAAACGGGAATTTACGTTAATTTTAGCATGAATTTCGCGACAATTATGATTTGCACTATATCGACTTTTTTCCTCTCGTCGAGATCTTTCATTCGAGCCCTCAATCAACCCCGTACTATCATTAGCATAAAAGTTATGCACATCTTCATGTCTCACTGGGGAACATTTAGGGAACACATTTTTTTTGTACGGATTATTTTAATAATTTATTTTCGTGCTCTGTCTGACTCTTGTCTCATTTCCTTGTGTCGAAACTTGGGCTGACTGAACTTAAAAGCATAAAAGGGACAATAGACCTCTATCGTACAATTTAACTTATTTTTATAATAAATAAAATTAATTAGTAATCAAATTGTTGGATAATTTAATTTTCAATACTTTTAGATATTGATCTGATAAACAAGGGTAAGCCCATGACATAAATTTGAATTTAAAGCATAATTAAATTTATAACATATTTGTAGGATATTTGTGGTGTCAATATAACATGATCTCTATTAGCATTTTAGTTTTTCTTTTCTATGCAATAATCGATAGAGTACATTTTATCATACATTGTTTTTCTATATCAAACAACAAATATTGTGTGAAAAAATAACGAATTTTTATCCACAAAAAGTGGATTAAAGGAATTTGTAAAATAATAATATTAATTTATTTTTCCTTACAAAGGATATTAATACTCTCCATTCCAAGGGAATTTTATTTTAAATATTGATATTAAATTCAAACGAGCAAATTTTATTTGAATAATAAAAAATTCATAAATTAAATAAAATATTTATCTTTTCTCTTTTATTAATCCTTTATATATTTCATCACATTTCTCCGTTACATCGTAAATGGAATGTATTTCCTCTGGTTAAAACAGTAGATGAATAATTAAAATTAATTAATGATAACACCAGTCATTGGCAAGTACTCTACCGATGAAACATGTATAGGTAAAACATATTTATTAAATGTTTTTCACGAAAAAAATTTATCAGAAAAATTTTACTCTAATTGACTTTGATTAAATATTTTGTAGAACGAATCAATAAAGCTGTGTTTTTTTATGTATATGTACTTTTGTAGAGCAATTTATAAAAATAAAATTGACAAAGTTTAAAAGCGATATAATTAGTTGTAAATTTCACTTTGAAATACGCTTAACGAAGAATAAAATTTAATAAAGCACACATCAATGTCATTTTTATCATAAAACTGTAAAAGCACACAATAAAATTGCATTTCCTGGTAATAAACACATCAGTAGAGAGGAATTGTGAATTTATATGCGGTTACATTTTTTTCCAAAGTCTTTGAAATGTTATAGGTAGTGAGCTTCAGATCAATTATTTATTTGATTGTATTCAAGACATGATGGAACCATAAGAAGCTTTGGTAGAATTTCTTACAAATAAAGTCAATGTGTAATAAGGCACATGATAGGATTTAGATGTCAGTATTGATATAGAGGATATTAATGGAGAACAAATGAGCATTGCAGAGGATCATAAGACATGTGACATCGAGAAAAAAAAATTAATATTGAAATGTATACTGAGTCAACTGAGTATTGACATTTCAAGTATCTCTAGATAACCTATTTACTTTTTAATTTTCCATTAGAAAGTTATTGTAATGGGGTCAATTTTTAACAATTCGTAATTTCGAAGAATTGTTTGATTTCGAGACATTTAAATGCATATAAAAAGATTTCAAAATGAATCTCTGTACGTACGTACAACTGTACGTACGCATGTCAGGTTTATTTTCATTTTCGATATCTCAAGAACTACACTGCAAATCCCAGAATTTCACAAACGTGTTAAAATAACACGCATAAAGTGTGTTCAATGTAAAATACCCATTAACAAACTATGCATGGTTTGTAGACATTTTTTACACGTTTCGTAGTGTGTGAAAAATCTATAGTTTGTTTATGACATTTAACATTGAAGAGGCTTAGCGTTTTAATACTGAAGATATAGACTCCGGACAAATTTATTATAATTAAATTCGATGAATATTAATGAAATGTTGTTATAAATAACTCAATGTGATTAAATAATTGTTTATTGTTTATAACAATGACAATTTTTTTATAAACAAAAAATTAAAAGATGACAAAATTATGGATTTTAATTAATGGAAAGTTTGTCATCGGGGTGTCAAGTAAGCCCAGACCCATTTTTATAATTAAAATTATTTCCATTAATCACTAGGTTGCCAAGAAACCAATTGGGAATAAAAAATTCATATGAAAATTTTTCAATGATTTTTTTTTTCATATAATTGAGCTAAAAGCATGATCATATTGTTGTCAGATAAAAAAGTAAAAACATTCGTATATTATCTATAAATATTAAAATATACATATCGATTTTGAGATTAAAATTATTTTCAATATTATATTAAATAAAGTTCAGAAGATGTGAGGGTGAGATCATCAATTCTTTATCAAAATGAAAGGAAAGTATTTTTAATTAAGTAAATAAATTGACATAATTCTACTGATTGTACAAAATCGGATTCTTTTGTTAAAACGATTTAACTTTTTAAAGCATTAAAAAATACTTTAAAGTAAATCTGTTAGACTTAAAAGGGTAATGATACTTCAAAGCAGAGTAATTCTTCCAAATGAAAAAATTCAATGTAATGTAATATCTAATATATCTCATAAGTGTAATAAAAAAAATATCTCTTGGTATTTCACTAGGACGATTTCACAATATTAAAAAAAAAAAACGTAAAAAAAAAAGTTCTATTATTGCTAAGAAAAAAAACTACTTTGATCAATTGAATAATTTTTAATTATAACTTTAACATCATCTGATGATTATAATTGTTTTTTTATCAGTTAAGATACTTTACTATTATTGATATGGTAGAATAATAGTGCATTTTAATTAATTAAATAATTCATGACACAGTTAATTGTTAATTACCAAAAAAATTCATCCATTAATCGACGATCAGGGATGGAAAAATGAATAAAGTGATTGAATCTTCATTTAAAAATACTTTCCCTTGGAATTTACTGTCCTCTAGATGATTTCCCAAGTTCCTATTCGTGTGAGAATTATATACAAGCGTCGAGGGCCTGTCGGTCGTTTCGGGCGTCCACGGAGAAATTAACGTTCGCGACTACCTTGCGGCACTAATTAGCCACTAGACTATACGACATTGGCAAAATGACTTGAGTTGTACACAGGAGCAACAGAACAAGCGTCGAAAACGACTACTTTCATGCCTCGGAGCTCTGTATTTCCATCTCGTTAACAATACCAGCAGAAGAGAGACTCACAAAACTACTTGATACGATTGGTTCAACTCTATATGAACAACATGGTACTACAGTACACTAACGAAAACTACCCGAGAATTTCTGATTAAAATTTACTTTATGCTGTCCAATAATTATAACACGTTTTATTATTTTTCTTTATGCTGATATTTATTTTCATTAAAAATAATTTTAAATCCTGGATACTAGAAATTTTTAATTAATAAAAAATTATTGCCTCTGAAATAATAAATTTTTATTATGTTCTATTTAATGAGAAAAAAAGAAATTATTTATGATAATAAACTGCATGATATTATTTAAAAAAAAAAAAAAAGTCTAAAGAAAAATATTATTGATGATTATTTGTAATTAATTATTATTTAAAAAATTAATAAGAAGCCTATTGAAATTGTTGCCTATTTATTGTTAAAATTGAAAAAAAAATAAATAATTCATATGCATTGAAAATGTAATTACATATAAGTAAATTCAGTTTTTTTTTGTTTCATGTACAACAATGCTACCAGTTGAGATATGAAACTTTCTATCTCAGTAAGTAATTAATTTTTTTTCAATGTAATTGAATTCACCATAAAGCTTTAAATGATAACAAAATTTAGATATTCAAGAATATTACAAAGTTTGTTTCAAAATAAATGAAATAATTGGATTTAAACAAATCCATTAAGCGAACACAAAAGTTAATAAACAATGAAAATAAAAGCAAAACTAAAAGTCCAAATCTATTAATTTTGAGTTTAATTAAACTAAATTTTTTACCATCAACGTAATTGAAATAAAAGTAATTGAGAGAATTTTAATATAATTCTAAGAGTGGTTGAAACTTTTATGATTGACATCAACATTAAGTTCAGTTCTGTAAATTCACCAATTAGTATAGTTATCAATAAAATTAATGAATCAATCAATAATCAATAAAATTGAATCTAAAAAACAATTAAATTCGATTCACGTTCCAATTAAAATAAATCAATATTTATCAAACATCAAGTAAAGCTCATTAAAACTATTCAAATCATTGGTCCACAGCCTACTTAATTGGACGGTTAAACCATTGGTTATTTAATACAACAACTCTTCAATAATTCTGACTAAACAATGCGAAGTCCAATTAGATAATAATCGATAGACTTTTAATGACTTGAAATTACAAATTATTACCATTAAAAAATAAAGATTCTCTTAACTGTTCGTTCATTGGGTTCTTTACCTTCCTAGAGTAAATATACTTCTTCAATAATTCATTACAGCTGCAGGACCATACCGCAATATTGGTTTTTCAGAAAGTTCCTATCTAATTCGAAATAAAATTGAATTTAAATACCTGAGCAAACTTTTTGGATAATCTAATAATAATTATGACATTAAAAAATGTATATATATAATTCCACAGTCAAACGTCCGATTAAATTTTACAGCTTTTGAGAGTAAAACTTATTGAATCTCCAATAATTACATCAGAATCATCACTGAATGATGGTTTTGATAGTCATACATGTCTGTGTCATTATCTAAAATATGTTACAAGGTTCTCAACGTGAATGGAGATGAGGAAAAAATTTGATTGTTATGTATAGGATTATGATATGGATATTGTCCTGGTTTATAAAATAGATCCTATTGGATTAATTGACGTTAATGAGGACACTTTTCAATAACCTGATTTGCTTTTACATGGTAACAGTAATTTATTGTAGTATTGATTCATTTGAGAATAATATAATTTGAATTGTCATTTGATGTGATTAATTAATATTGAAGATTGGAATGAATTTATACTATTTGGATTGAAGGATGCAATTGAGAGAAGCTCAATGTTTGATGTTAGGTATTAAATTATGATAGACTGGGAGATTTATTTAACGATTGAAAATAGAGAAATAAATAGTATTATCTGGTACTTTTGGTACTAACTTGGAATTCAGTAAATCAAACTGTCAATAAAAAATTTTAAACGTCATTCTAGCATCAAATTTAATATCTAGATGACAGATTTAATAACTGAACCTTCAAAAAAATTCCGTACGTCTAACATAATTTTCAAGAAACGTCTGATGCAAACTAATATCATTTTTACTCAATTACCAAGCAGCAGAAAAACATAATTGAATTTATACTGCATAGATTATTAAATAAAATTAATTTACACTTAAAAGAGTATCTTTTAAAATGAAAATTTTAACTTAACTTTGAATTATGTTTCAAATTATTTTTAAAGTTCAGTTACTGCTCTATGTGTATTTAAAACTGTTGACATTTTTCTAAAGTGATTCAATTAAAAAAATATGAATGTGATTTTATTATAACAAGTTTGAAATTTAAAGATAATATTTCGTTAACTCACCGGATGGGTTATAGCCAGCACAAGCTTAGAGCTGTCAGAGGTGATATTATAAATTATAAGATTTCCATTCTCATCTTGAAGCAAAATTTCATCATCTGCAAAACAAAAGAGAATTCATATAAGTCCAACAATGTCTTCAGACTGATAAAAAGCAAGCAGAGAAATAGAAAATAGCAATGCTGGTATGATTGAAAAATGTATGAATCCTATTGTTTGTGGAATTGAATTTACTTGGGCTATCAGCTAAATATCGATAAACAATATGGAGTGACCAGGCAAAGGGAAATCGATTCACGCGCTATTCAGGGTATCCGGATATTAACGCGTGACATTTGCGTCAGAGGGAATTCCTGGTATATAGTACCAGAGAGTGATTTCGCGTGTGTTCACGAATTTCGATAGCAATTCCACCTGGAAAGGTTTATATCGTTGATGCTCGTCCGGTCCTCTGACTGGTTAGACATCAAGCACATGTCATATCCGGTGTAATTGGTCACTTTCCTAGGATTGTATATATTGTACCATTTCCTTTATTCTTCCCAAATGTATTCGCATTGTCAGTGGTTTGTTAGCTTCTATTTTTTACTGGAACAAAATTTATTAAAGCCTCTTGCAGTTCCATTTAAAAAGAAATTAGTGGTCCTCTTTCAACAGATCTAGAGCAATTAAATGGATATTTTTTTTACTTCGATCTCTGTTAATACTCTGCTGAAAGTTAGCTTTGAATAAGGCAAATACAAAACGAGATATCTCATTAAAAAAGAATCATGGAGGATGATTGAATGTAGGCAAAGTTAAAAATTAACGATCACATTTCAAGTAGAAGTCTCTAGATTGCAAACATGTGTGAAATATTTCATTCGTAGTTTTTAAAATTATATCTAGGTTTCATTTAGAATAGCAAAGCGCATCAGAATGTAGTGAATCCCGAGAGACATTTCTCACTCCACTTACTACATCGATTCGACCTACCAGCTTCCAACAGAGTAACCAAAAGAAAGAGTAGACGAATGTCTATAGTCTTTTTCCATTTCACATTCTACCACTGTTAGGATCATTGTTATCGTTCAGTAACAGGCCCCTAAGGGAATTCCTCACTTTTCCTAATCCTTCTGACCCTATTTATTTCGATAAAAATTGTTTCTATTTACGGAATTGAAAAGTTTATTCTCGAAGATGGACTTTGGGTAGTTTTTTCGGGTGTTTTAGTCGAAAAGTGAAGAAAGCTTTCATGCTACAAACTTTCAACTCCAATTAATCAACAGGAAAAAAACAATAAAATGAATTTTATGAAAATATGACTGTAATTTTTTTCCTTATATTTCTGATATTTTATATAAAAGAATTCTTTGAGAAGCTTTCAATTGTAAATGAGTTGAAAATTCGATTTTAAGCTTCATTGTAGCAACTTCATAATAATTTTTTTAGAAAGCTACTTACTTAACGAATAATTATACTACTAACTTCAAAAGATTACTTTTTAAAGACTTCATCTCTACTCTATTATTACACGAGTTTCAGTAACTCGATAACCACGCGATCGATTTCATTAAAATTTTAATTAGTTGTAACTTATACTAAAACCCTTTTACACTCAGCCACATGATTTGTTACCAACATCAAACCAAATTTTAATCACGTATATACGAACGTAATCACTGACATAAAAACCCATCCACATCTAGGTACATACAGACATTGATGTAACATACATAGAGTAAACACTTCAAAGTAGAGTAATTCTATCGAATTTAATCCTGTTGTCAGTTAGTGATTGTTAGAGGATGACTATGAATGACTTTCGATAAATAACCGTTATTTAAACCAGTTTATTTACTACCATTTGAAACTAAAACTTTGAAAACGTAGCTTTCATCAAAATTCATGAAACTCAATTTGACTGGAAATTTATTTCTCACAAGTTGGTTGACAACTCAATCAAGTGTCTATCAAATTGTGGTGAGGACGTCACAAAAAGTTATCCTACCTCAGCACATTTATCGGCAAGACCCTTCAACGTCGATTATCCACACGTTGCGCTACAAAGTTAACGCGAATTCACTCGGCTGTTGAAGACAAGCAGCTGTGGACACGACAGCTAATCCGATAAATCTCTCAGAGGATTACACACTTGCTTTTGTTACAACATATACTAATTTAACCATTAATTCTTTTTACACTCTTTCCATTCCAACGTGCTATTCTTACCGTACATATAAAGAAGGAGTTATGGTATGAGCTTTAGAGTCTGGGTTGGAACAATGTAATCTTGAAGTGTTGCTGTTATGGTTGGAGTTTAGTATTATTTGATGGCTAAATTAATAATCAGGATAATGATATCAATTATCTAGGGGTTTTAAAATAGAGCAGCTATCTTTGGTACAGCAGTGAAAATGATTGATAATTACTATTTGAATAATAGCTTAATCAAAGTGATGATTAATTGAATTTATTCTTTAACTACTGGTGAATCAATTTATAATAATTACTTTGAATATAGTTACCAGCTAACATTTTTTCTTTAATGCAAAAATAGCTCTTTTGATTCTATTAAAAAGAGTAGCATAATATTTAGAATAATCTTTATCATATTAAATAATTATAATTATCCAAGTCTAGTCAAGCTAAATTATGAGTCTTGATTGAAAACTAAGTTCTTGTTATCCAATATCATTGAATCTTCATGATTAATTAAAAGTTCATCATCAACACCAAGAATGAATCAAAGGAAATTATTTTGACATCACCTAAGATGATTTGAATTATTGCTCAATAACTTCTAAATTCCCCAAAGCCAATATCGATAAAAGGATGCCATCAACATAGCTGGAGATAGTTGGAGGAATTTGATATAGCTAATGCAATAAATCATACAATTTTATATAATTCTTATTTTTTAATACACCTAGCAAAGCAACTGTAGCGTAGCTTTTGTCAGCTGCAGCTAAATTGACTGAGCTGAAAGTGTCTCAAGGGGATAAAAAAACTAAAACGTCACCGTAAATCCTAAATCCACCCTGATCATAAATTTTTTATATTACCCCAGCGAGAAATATGTCAACAGACAACTAATAGCTGGTGGATACAAAGATTGCATCATCACAACTGTCATCTAATTTTATCCTGAGTCGCAACATGGTCTTCTTATCTATTTGTCAAGACATTTCATCTTATTCGTCTTACTTGAACGCATCTAATCGCTTGGGACAAACAAGTACAAGTATGGATATGAGTATATGTGCAGTCATAACGTTATAAGTATGTCGTATAGGACGAGATGAGTACATTGTCTCAAGCTTTATTGGAGTACGTACGCACTGGTATGGAAGAGAGACTTGGAATGGCATATGTAAGATGTCTATGTACAGTTCCAAGGGAAGGCCAATAATGCTCTCGGCAGCATTATGGCCTATTTGGTCCTATCGCTTCAATAATATATCGCGTTAACGATCTTCCTGGGTAATCTCTAGGTCGCAGCATTTCCGGTGTCACGGGATGAGCTCCTTTAAACTGGCGTTGTTGAAATTCCCTCAAACGACAAACCTTCTCCCTTACTGCTTCAACTGTTCACCACGCTTGTAATGCTGTATGTATGTATATATACATAGATTGTCTTGCTAGAAAATGTATTCATATTTTATGCTATTTTTGTACTTTTTACATCCATCACGACTGAAAAAACATTTCTGTTAAATTAAAAATTGTTACATTTACATTGCAATGAAAAAAAGTCTGTTTACGACATCATAATAATGGTGTTATTTCAGTTATTAAATCAACGTAACAATGAAAAATTCCTCTTCAATTTTGAGATTTATCCGGTAGAATAAATTCTGTTCAAGTTTATTGAATACTCTCTATTCAGTCTAAAATAACATGTAAATTTATTTATGAATGTTACAAGTATTATTTCAGTTTTATTTTTTTTTTAATCTTAAATCATAAACTTTAGTTCCATATTATATTATTATATAGCAACCATCATAAGAACTAAAATCTAATTTCGACGAATTATTACCAGCCTACTATTGAATCAACATTGAGTAAATTGGCACTATTCAAATCCGAATTAGATCCATCTTCCCTAGTAATATAATTTTTGTTTCGCAATAGACTATGATCTTGCACAACCCAATCACTGGATCTTGATCTTATTAGGGGATCATAATTTTAATGATTAAATAGAAAAATTTATTATTAATTGAATAATTACCACATCGTTATCTAATTAAAGGCAGTTCAATAAATTAATTAATCGTGCTAATTAATAATTAAAGAGTACTTGACTATTCATATTAAAATTGGAGACTAAATGTTGAATTTTTGAAGAGTTCCAATTAAAATAATCACATGATGATCTAGCTAATTAATATTTCACTCTTCATTTCACACATATAATATTGTTGTATTAATATTAACAAATTAAATGAAAAAGAGAATAAAATTAAAAAATGAAGGAAAAGATAAATAGTTTATCTGCTGTGATCTGTATGTTGAATCGATTAAGGCATTAACACAAGGTATCAAGAAAGGGGTTTAATTTTATTTTTACCTTTTTGGTTAAAACCGCTGAATAACTTTGTACTGATTAACGAGGGAAAGGAAAAGGAACAATAAAAACAACCGAATGGATTTCCGTAGAGTTTAAACGTTCTTAGTACCAAAAAAGTCAAGAAAACATTCGTCGTTGGATGTGAAAAATACCAGAGAGAGATTTTAATCTCAAAGTTTTGTCCACACTTGGAGGAATTTCATCAACGCCATTATTCTCATCCTCTTTACCAACTCAACACTACATTCAACCAAGGTAACGATACACTTTTCCAACTTTTACTGTACTTTGTGAAATTCGACCTTACTTTTCCTTGTTTCTTGGAATCTCCTATGTCTGACTAAACTATAATTGTTCCTTCAATTTAAATTTAACTTTTATGGTTGACATTTTTGTTTTAAATTGTTATTAGCATTTAGGAGTTTTAGAAAAAACAGTATTTAATAATATTCATAAACAGTATTGAATAAAAATATAAAAAATAAATAAATAACATTAATCATCAACTAATTTCTCACAATAATTGGATTCATTTAATTATATATTTTTAATATAATCAATTAATTAGTATTCATTAAAAATATTTAGATCATATTTCTTTTTGAAGAGATAATTTAAAATTACTACTTTAAAATATTTTCATAAATAAAAATCCTTATAAATTATTTTAAGAAAGAACTTCATTTGATTTGTAAAAGGTTAATATTATTTGTAATCAACCAGACATTTTGGTTATGAAAATTTCTTGAAAAATGTTCCACCAATTATCTTATCAAAAGTATTATAATTACACCAGAACACTAATTAGATAAATTACTTCATGTAGAATTAATTAGAAAAGATCATAACGTCGTTGAAATATAAAAAAATCTCAAATGTATTTAACTATCTCATTAAGGAATTTCAAAGCAGATAAACTTTTTATAATTTCTCATTACATCTGCGAATGGTTAATTTGATAAATAAATAATTCCACTACAAAGACTTAATTTTCTCATTTAACGTTTTGTACCATGAAATCTCCATCCGTTATTATACCAAGTCTAAATCCAGAATCTTTAAGTAGACAAAAAAGACACTACCAAATCACTGGAAAAAACATTCTTTATGTGGCTGAGTGTAATCTAAGATTGGGAATGAATTAAAAGGAATGCAAATGCAACGTAATGAGATAAAAATAATGGAAAAAGAGGGAAAAATATACGAACCAGTAAGCCAGGTTCCATTAAAGCCTTTAGGAGTTAACCAACCCTCTAACCATTGTTCTATGGTGATACTTGAAGTTGTTGGTGGTGGATTTCCAGAGTTGCCTTTACCAGTGAGAAAAATAGCCGCTGTGATCAGCAAGCTAAGGACGACAAGTGTTAATACTCCAACTGCCAATAACTTGCGCCAATTACGTCGGGTATTTTTTGTCATCATCTCCTGGAACAAAATCATCAAAATTTATGTTAGAAAAATCTACTCATCATAATTATTCAGTGGATACAATCATTATTTAATTAATAATAATAATCAATGCTTTCATTTTTAAAGTATGCTCATAATAAAAATTCAAAACCATTTTAAAAGAATATATTTGTCAAAGAATTGACTAAAAAAATTTGAAATGTTCAGCAAATGGCAAGCTAGTGAAGCAAAAAATGTACTATCATTAGATAAATCTTTCTTATCAAAATGAAATTCGATACGATGACCATGGGAGTCGTTATAAAGACTTCCAAAGACGAGAACAAGTCTCATCGATGTCGATGTAATTTCATTTTTCCCAATAACGGAAATGATCCTCTGGGAATCGTGGCGAGAAGCAAAGAATATAAAAGATATTGTCGGATCGCATGTAACTATTATATCGCACGTGGATTCTCAGTGTGTGCTTTACTTCTTTTTTATCTCATATATCTCGACCTAGAGAATCTTTGTTCACAGGAGTATCAATGAAATAATATACCTGGTATTACGAGAGAACCTTATGATTTAAAATAAGGTGGTAATATGTATACATGAAGAAGGCTTCGTAAATTTAAAATGCAAAGACATGAAAAAGAAGAATATAATTCGTAGTAAAAAAATCAGAAATTGGATTTTCGTTTATGTTATATGGCGATGGTATACTAAGTAAGCATTTATTGGTGATCTTGAAGATTTGAAAGTGTAAAGTTTAAATGGTATCGAATATTTCTTTTTCTCTGATCGGTCTTAAAGTTTACGAGTGCATTTGATGGTTGCGGCCGCGGTCGTGCGAACGTGCTTGGCTTATTTTTCATGTTCAAACCCCTTGATAAATCGCTAAGGATGGTAAGGGAGTTTCCTGACGCGAAGTTATTCCCCCGTTGCCGATTCTGCCTTCCAGAGCTCTAGCTTCTTCACGGGCCGTCGCTCGTGCGGAACTACAAGCCACTTTCTTGCTCTTTCTTTCATCTTTCCTCTTTCACTCATGCCTCTTGGGACTCTCGACTGCCTGGATTATTAATCCCCCGGCCGTTATAAAGTCGAAAAATACGGGACGTGGCGTCGTTCCAGATTCTCGAATTAAATCGGCCGCTCTGAGAAAAGTATACTAAGGAATTTGGGACGACTGGAGACTTTATTTTCAATTATATTTTTGTACCATTTCCCTCCGGCTTATTTTCCTCCTATTTATTTTTATTACCCAAGTCGTTATTTGGTTTGAAGACGTGAAAGCTCATCTTCAATTGTCAAAAGTCGGTCGAGTGTCGTTTCATTCTTAATTCACAGCTTCAGATCCTTTAAAAGGTAATAAAACTTGTGGATAAATTATGCAATTATTTTATCACTGATTATTCCATTTTTTTTTTTGGTCATTGATCCTATATTTTTTAACAACGAATTTTTTAAACCAAAATAATAAAATCTATCATTTGAAATAAAATTTTTTTTTTTTTTTTAATTTTAAAGATGAATGGTTCAACTTTTAATCAATCCTAGTAATACCGGAAATAAATAGCTAGAAATAACTTTTTTTTTCAATGGAGAAAATTTTTCAATATTTAATTGAACATGTTGAAGTTCATTCAAAGTATGTTACATGTATACCGTCATTAACAATCTATACTATCTGTGTAAATTTATCCTTCTCTGTGTGTGTAAAAAGTGTCAACGAAATATTAAAGGGGAAACCGGGGTAATATGAGGTACCCGGAATAAAATGGGCTACTCCAAAAAATAACAGAATGCTGTGAAAAGTAAAAAGGTATCCTATCTAAAATAAATCTATAATTTCTTTGGAATGCAATTTTTTTTTGTTGGTTAAAGAATATGAAAAACTCTTTATTATAATTTTTTTTTAGTGTCCTTATAGGGGAAAGAAGAATAAAATGTATCTTTCGAAAAAATGTACGAATTTATTAAAATATTTTTAAAACCGCGGATTGTTTTTTTTTGTTGACTAATTTTCCAATTGATTAATTTATAAACAATTATTAAAATTTCTTAATATATTAGTTAATTTGTTGATTTACACTTTTTATTCGTGTTTCATTTTACCCCACCTTCCGCTATTTCCCCAGTTTCTCGTGAGTTATTTATGATATGTACATTACGTGCATGAATTTCAAACATGTGTGAAAAAAATACGAATATACAGTGTTTAAAATATGTTAAAATGAATTATTTTATTTTAAAAGTTTTTTTAATGATAAATTATTCCACTACTCTACTTCAAGGGTTTGTTTTTACGAGCAATAATATGATTTTTTTCACTTACTCATCTTTAAGTTGTACTTAAATTGTATCAAATACTTTTTCATTAATTAAAAATTGATTGTTTATTTTAAATTCAAGAAAATATGTCGTTAGTTTGATACTTCAAAGATTTTATTTCAATAGAGATAATTTATTTTTTTAAATTAATTTAATTACAGAATATTTTAATTGCTCTGACATTTTTGATGCAAATTTTTTCTATTTTAAAGAGGTTGAAATTAAATGAAAAGTGCTTTTCATTTCGTTATGAATATATTTTGAAGAAATATTAATAAAAATCTTATATTAAATTTAAAAAATATTATACCATTAATTTATTTATAAGCTAAACAGTTACTTTTATTGTAATAATTTCTGATAACAATGTTTTAAAAACTGAAATGATGATAAAGAAAATTTTTTTAAAACAAACTTTTCAGTTGTTATCAGTTAGTTATTTTGCTCTTATTTTTAGCAGCAAAGAAAAATAAAGTTTTGTAAATAAAAGGAGATTTGAAGACTCCATCATGTATTTAAATAATTAATTGACATGTAAAATGCGCTGTAGTTTTCAATTATTTATTTTTATCTGCACCAGAAGGTAAAAGTTTATTCTCTTGGGAGATAAGAGTTTTCTGCAGGCGTAAATGAAGTATCCCAATGTGTAATCGGCCGAGTTCGCCTCGAGATAAATAGGAAAAAGTGTAGAAAGTCTGTGTACAAACTGGACTTTTGATGTTCCTCATTTAACTTCTCGGTGTATAACAGCGTGAAAAAGACGAGTAATGAGTGATTTTAATGTAATAAAAAGTTGAAGGATTTTCAATACATGCAAAGAAAGATATTCATAATGAGAATAAAAATATATTTAATCATAAATAAGTATCACTAAATATTTCCTAATTCTTCTGAAAAGCATCCTTTCAAGTGGAGATAAATTTGTCTTGATTTACATGTAACGTAAGAAAATCTCCGAGGATTCATGATAGAGAATTCTCATGGGGAAAAGTCGTGCATTAAATACTAACAAGTTAAGTTTATTTTACTGTACAAGACTATAATGTAGTATAGGGTGAGCAATTGCAAGTAGAATAATGCACAGTAGAGAAGAAAAAGAGTCAAATTTTCCGTTTGAGGAATAGGAGTTGAATAATGCAACCAAAATTTGTGTCGAAATTCCAACTGAGATGAAAGCACCGTAAAATAGATACAATACCTCTCGCGTCAGCTTTTCACCGTAAAATTTACATGCAAAAATACCGACATGGAGACGAGATTCCTTGTCCAAAGTTGTTTTAATTCACGTCTTTTTCACTTTCACTCTAATTCTTCAGGAACAATAACATCATTTTTCCACTATTCTAATGCACTATTTAAACTCTAATTACGTTCATTACAATTCAAGGAAAAAATACTTTGCATAAAGTATACACAGTATCCCTCTTTTTATCACCAGTATCTTTAAGTGGAAATAATAGCACTAAATGGAAGAAAAAAAGATTTTTTATTTAATTTTAAGTAATTTTTCAGATGGATGACAAAATTACTGAGGACACTATTTTTTTTCTGTTGAACCATCCAACATCCTCTCTATTCTTTCAAGAGTGAAAAGAGTGACGTACAAACAAGGGTTGAAAGCAATTAAGTTAATTGTGCATCTTTCTCTTTCAAATTCATGTTTTTTTATTTTTTTGGTATGTTACAATTAAAAGAAAAATGTTATCACGAAAGTAATGTTAGATTAATTGTTAGATAAAGAATAAAAAGAGATAATTGCTTCTTTTTAACAAAATTTTCATTCTCTCTATATAAAATTATCACTTTTTTTTTCAAATGTTGTCTTGTTTACTTATTTTCTACGTTTTATACCTTTTAATTAAATTCCTGTAATACTTTTAATTGCATCTGATTAACGAAAAATTAAAGTACCATTTGAGTTTATCAACAAAATAAAAAGGAAATAAAAAAATAAAAGAAAACGTGAAGTGAATGTAAAAAATAATTTAAAATTGTTTTATATAAATTAGTTGGAGTTGTTGATAGTTGTTTGATTATCTAAAAATGAGTTTTCAAAATGAATCAAGTCTATTAAGAAGTAAGCAATTAACAGAAAATAAATCAAAATGGAGTTTTCATGATTGAATTGATAGAGTTCTGGATTGAATTGGTAAGTAAATTCTCACTGGACCTCAGTTTCAATCAAGATAAACTACCCAATAACAATTAACGTTGTAATTGTAAGTTCTTTTCTAAAATTAATCAACATTTTGAAAATATAAGCTTATTCGATGCCAAATTTCTCTGTTTTTTATTTTAAAAAAACTCAGCATTTACGATAGAATACATTTAAGCTGCACTTTTTGATTTTTATTTTCCATTTTAAAACAATTCTACGATAAGAAACTCCTTACCAAGTTTTTCACAAGTGTTAATGGGTTGAGTTATATATACTTGGGCTTTTTTTATCGTTGAGAGAAATCAATTTGCTTTTTTTTTCAAGTTTGTACAACAACAAAATAAGAGATTAAACTCAACATGAAAGATATTATTAATGAATAAGCTGATTAATTTTTTAGATTCATTGGAATTGAGTGTAATCCTTTTTGAAAGGAATCACATTCTATGATAAATTTATGTTTCTTCAATAAGACACTTTACTTATGTGCTCATGTTGAATTATATTTATATATATATATACATGTTGATATCTGGATTTTAAT